CCATGCACTCATCTGTGGGTCGCTTTATAGTCCATGCGAGCTAGTTTTCTGCAGATCGCATTCAAGCCTTTATGGATTAAAACAAAGCTGCATTTTGTTTCCAAGAGAATTAGTGCAAGACAGCTTCAATGTCTCCCCCCACCCCCAAGAGGCAAGGAGTGCATGGGAACAAAATGACTTCATGCTTTTGGCGAAGAAAAATCCAATGTCTATTAAATTACAATTACAAGAGGCTGCGTAGAGAACTTGATAGCTTAGAAAACATTTCATAATAAAATTAAATCCACAAGATATTTCATGAACAGTAAAACACAATTCACCAATATAGCACATTTAAAGAGATGTTCAGTCAATATAGAGATTAATGGAAGTCTGGAAAAAGATTATTAGTCAAGGACCTAATTACGTCTAAGGCGGCAAATCTCATTAGTACGGAGAGGCCTGGATTGTGTGCTCCTCTGAATTCCAGATCCTCTCTAGGCACCTAAACCCAAGCTGCAGACACTGCTATTCTTGTCTTACAGGCCAGACAATGGGGCTCATTTACACAATCTAGTAAAATTAGAGAACGCAATAGGTTAAACCTCTTGTAACAAACAAAAATTATTTTATGTTCTATCCAGCACTAGGAAAAAAGGAATGCCATTGGCTATAGAGAACTACCTTGATTTTGTTCACCAACAAGCAGGGCTGGAACAAACGAGTCAAGGTGAGATTGTGGCTCCTCAAAAAAGTAGGCCAAAAAGAAATTCTCACTTAAAAAGGAGAACTATGAGGTGAGTGAAAATCAATCACCCACCCTCATAGTTCGAGCCAACGTGCGACAATTAAACTGTCACACGTCGGCTCAATAGATCGGGAAGTGAGCGAACACTTACCGTCGCTCGCTCACTTCTCGATCATCTCCCTGCAGAGAGCAATGACTGTTGGTCATGGCTCCCAGCAGGGTTTCCCTCCCCGCTCCGATCCTCCAGCGCTGACTGGAGGAACTTACGTGGGAGGGGCGAGTACAGCTGGCTCTGCCTCTAGATAGGCAGAGCCAAATGTCACTTACACCTCTGGGTGGATCTCGACAGCAATGTTGGGATCAGTTCCGGCTACGGCGGTCTCAGCTGTAGCTCGCGGTATACTGAGCTTTGGGTCATGGGAGAACGCTAGTATATGTCCTCCCGTGACCCTTAAGAGAACTATGGGGAAATACACTTACCCCATAGTTCGCTTTTAAATTGCCCTAATTGTTTCTTCTGCCCTTGCGGATACTGGAAAAACTGCAGCAAACTAGATTCTCCATATTAAAAAGTGGATCTTTGACCCCCTTTGACTAAAAATCACATCAGCATACAGCTCTGCATGCTGATAGGAAATCATCTTACATTTATAAGCTAAACAAACATTTTTATTTTACTTACAATTTCCTTTTTCCACTTCGGCACAAATGATGTAATGTGCCCAAGCACTGCATCCTGGGAGGGTTACATCCGCAGAGCATTGCTGGGAAATATCATCTGTAATCTCACGAGATCTCAGGGAAAGGTATTTTCGTCCCCTGAAATGATGTGCATGGTCACATGTCCTAGTCACATGTGCCAGAGTTCTGGGAAGTAAAGAGAGATGGATTCGCCTGCCCTTAGTTAAAATGGCCACCGTGAGATGAATGGGGAGGAAAAGAAAAAAACAGGGTATGCAAAGATTGAAAAGCCTTCAAATTATCTAAAAGTATGTGTTTGTAGATTGTCATTACTAAACATTTCTAAAGGGTGCCTTTGTTTTAATTTTGAAGATATGGGTAAAGTTCCTCTTTAATTACCCAGGACGTACATCAATATGTAAAACAGAAAGGGGATAAGGCTCAACCATGACTGCCTGCACTTCAGAAAAACGAGCAACAATAGCTGTGCTCAAATGGGTCAAGAAACTAGATCAAAGTAACTATACATTTCCTAAAGAGAAAATTTAACTCAAGATTCCTATATTTCCAAAGAATACCAAAGCTACTGGACATCAGGTGCCCATCTGAACAATAGGTCACAGGTGGCCCTAATGGAATCAAAAAATCATGGATGAGAGAGGACATCCGCCTATCGATGCTTACACCAGGCATGTCAGAAAGGTTTACATTTATGGACCTCTAGGAGCTTGTTGGACATTTGCAGGTATGACAGCCTCCACTCTTCCGGGAAAGCTTTCAATAAGATTTAGCAAAGTCTGTGGAATTTAGCCCACTCAGACAAAAGAGTATCTGTGAGGTCAGGTTCCGATATTAAACTAGGAGACCTAGCTCGCAATCCATGATCCAATTAATCACATAGGTGGTGTTCAAAAGTATCAAGGTCAGGGCTCCGTGCAGCCCCACTCCAGTTCCTCTAAAATCAAAACACATGAATTCAAGTCTTTATGGACCTAGCTTTGTGCATAGGGGCACAGTGATGCTGGAACAGAAAAGGACCTTCCCCAAATTGTTATGACAAGGATAGAGGAGCACAATTGTCTTAAATGTCTTTATATATTCCACATCAACAGGAACATTCAGTTAAAAACACTGGAACTTATGTGGTGGGTTGCCACACAGTTTTGGCCATAAGGAACACATGGCTATGAAACCATGCTCCCTGTATTGGCCAGCCAGCTACAGAAGGAAGACTACCTTTAACAATTCAGTTAAGCCAGAGTGTGGCTTCCATTCTCCATAGCCATGTTAAAGTTTAAGGGTCTATATGGGCCCCTTCACACCTATGCATGTGCTTTACCCAGCATGCTGCATTGACATGTAACAGTGTAAATTCAACCTTCAGCATCAACAGAGACCCCTACTAGACTCTTTTTTTAGCTTCCTACACTCTGACATCAATAGCGATCATAGTCCCCTAAGGTTCTTCATTATTAAAAGAGAACTATGGGGTAAGTGTTTTTCCCCATAGTTCTCCTAAGGGTCATGGAAGGACACAAACTAGCGTCCTCCCGTGATCCAAAGCCCAGTATAGCCCGACAGCTTGCCGTATACTGAGACGGCTGCAGCCAGGACGGATCCCGACAGTACTGTCAAGATTCAGCCAGCTGAGTGATTGACAGCAGGCTCTGCCTATCTAGAGGCAGAGCAAGCTGTACCTGCCCCCTCCCCCGTCCATTCCACCAGTCAGTGCTGGAGAATCGGAGCGGGGAGGGCGGGAATCCCTGCAGGGAGCTGCGAGTGACAGTCACAGCTCTCTGCAGGGACATTATCGAGAAGTGAGCGAGCAACGGTTTGTGTTCGCTCACTTCCCGATCTATTGAGCCGATCTGAGGTCACCATCTAAAACTGGTGGAGAAAATTTTTAACCATAAGGGGCGCAAAGGCCTTTTTTCAGTTAGAGCGGTTAAAATCTGGAACTCGCTGCCACAAGCAGTGGTATCAGCAGAGAGTATTGAATCATTCAAAAAGCATTTAGAATGCTTCCTCAGAGACCATAACATACAGGGGTACAGGTACTCTTAAAAACTAGACCACACATGGATCCATATATACATGCAAAAAAGACAGCGCCTTGTCCTCATGTAATACAGTTTATTAATCAATGAACATACAAGCTGGCATAAAATACTACTCACATGGTAATCACTGAATGAATGGTACAAGGCAGACCCCACACACAGCTGCCTTGCTAGCTGGCGCGTTTTGGGGAATATACCCGGGGAATTCTCTAAGGGGTATATTCCTGAAACGCGTCAGCTAGCAAGGCAGCTGTGTGTGGGGTCTGCCTTGTACCATTCATTCAGTGATTACCATGTGAGTAGTATTTTATGCCAGCTTGTATGTTCATTGATTAATAAACAGTATTACACGAGGACATGGCGCTGTCTGTTTGTTTTGCGAAGAATACTTCCCAGTGGCCTTTTGAGGACGGAAGCCTGCAAACTTTTGTTGGTGAAGAATATCATTGGGAGTCTGCTGAGCGCAGTGGTATGCATTCTTCTGATACACACACGTTGAACTTGATGGACCTGTGTCTTTATTCAACCTCAAAATACTATGCAACTATGTAACTCTGTAGTGTGAAAATCTACCTAACTGGTAGGCGGTGGACTTGGGACTAAAAATAGATGCACACTCACAAGAATACAAGCCCTCCCCAGCCCCTGCTTGCCTGCTCTGTCTCCATGCAGCCTTCTCAGCCCCAGCACTGCTTAGACGCCCGCCTCCTGCAGAGCTCACATTGTATGGGAGGCAGGACAGCAGTGGCTGTGAATAGAAAAGCCCTGCTGTACACACTCCCCGGCCACTAGATGTCGATGCAGTGGCCAGGCAGTTTGTATAGCAGCACTTTTATATTCACAGCCTCTGCTGTCCTCCCACTGACTGACTGACACTGACGTGCTAGGAGGAGGCTGAGGAGCCTCTCACCTAGCGCAGGAGAAGTGGATGCTGCGATCCCCTCAACATTGAGTTGCGACCCACTTTTGGGTCGTGACTCACAGGTTGAGAGCCGCTGCTCTAGATGGTGTGTGGTCAGCTTTAGAACCAACTGGTCCACTCATACAAGCCAGAAGGCTTAAACAGGAGGTCAAGAAAATAAATAAGTCCTGGCTCAGTACACTTCCATATAGTAGAGCGGAAGTCTTTTACCTATTACGTGTCCTGGGTTTTTTTACAACAGAGATACGCAGAACTGAAAAACATCCTGCAGGCAAAAATCAAGTACTACAACATGATGAAAAATCTAATTCTTTAAGAAAACCGTTCCATTTCTAGCGTGACTTTTAGTTTGCCTGAAAACAGAAGAATTGTCAGGGAGGAAGGCAACAAAATACGATTCAAGCCAATAACTTCAATTTGTTATAAATGAGCCCCATTGTCTTAAGTTCTAGCTTCAGGGAAAAAAACTTCACAATTATGATGCAAAAGAATGTTGATATTTTTTACTACCGGAACTGTAGAAAGTTTATGTGCTTCAGTTCACTAACTTTGCATGTGTAAAAGAAACAGATTGTGCTAAATGTCTCATCATAAAAATCGGTCCTCTTACCTTCACTCCGTGGCCTACATCATCCAGCACCATGTAGTCTATGGGTTTTCGTATGTACCTGACGGGACGCTCGATGTTGGCTGGAGCTATAATTTTATGACTCCTTGCAGTGTTCTTGTTGGTTGTTAGGATACCAATCTCTCTTCGGGCCACCTTCTCCTTGTGGATGTCCACCGTCTGCAAATGACAAATACTTTGGGTTTACATCTACTTTACGATGTTTCACATGTTATTGGTGATGTTCTAAATGATTAAGACAATAAAAACTCACAGAAGCTTTAACATGCAACTGTAATTGCAAAATAAATTTTCAATAAAATCAGAATCTTTCATTAAAATACCTATACACACGGCCATGAAGGTCCAGCTTTTTACTAATAAGAGGTGCCAACTGTCTCTAGCTCCAAATTGTGCTTTCATGTTGTAACCCTGTCTCACAGGCTTCCAATGGAGACAAGTGGCCATTTCACACACATGGTTCACTGTTGTCATTACCAGGAAACCCTTCCTGAGAAATGTCATGGAGCCATTAGAGTACATTTATGTAGACCGGAAGTGTCACATGGTTATAAACATGGTCACATTACCACTCAATTCTTCTACCCGCAGCATCCGGACATTTTTTTTTAAACCAGCGCAGCTGTGGTGGCTCCGTCTGCACAGCAGAGTCATTCATTCAGAGATTCTTTCACAGAACCTATGGCTGGAGTGTCTAAAAGTCCTATCTGCCACCACTGCACTGAGACTTGAAATTCTCCAATCGAGTAAAAGTGCAGTGATGCCACTTGAGTTGAAGTATGCCGACACTTTCTCTCATCCTGTATCTGAAAGTCCATACCTTGGTTTTCAGGAGCCATGTGTTGTATTATTTTATTATTGTGTGTGTATTAAATAATTTTTTTAAATAGACCATGCCTTTATGGGAGCTGGATTTCTGGCAAGATCAAAAAGCAAATATACAACAATGAGTGCAAGGCACCGTGGTGTCTATTCCACAGGTAGCTGGTTCATTATGTCCTGCAATCACAGGATGTCCTCAAGGTTGAAGGACACTAGGCATGATTCAAACCAGAAAACTGTAGACACGTTGTGGGCCAAGTAAATTACTGGTAACATTTGAGAGCCTTTTTTCTCCTTAACCCTCCTGGGTAACCGTTTTAAAAAGATATAAAAATATAGCCCGGAGTCTAACTTTAAAGCTAACCCATACTTTGTACTAACTAAAGTATACTTTGTACTAACTAAAGTATACTTTGTACTAACTAAAGTAACCTGTTGGCTATGCAAGAGGCAGGGTCAACAGCATATAGCTACCTTCCACTCAAAGCTCTCCAAAGCCCTAGACAAGTTCTGACCTAGTCAAAACTCAGAGTTCCTGTTACTAACGGGAATGGGTGGTAGGTATCATGTGTTGCCACCTCATTACCTGGGTGCTGGTATTTCCGCAGGCTGCAGGAATAGATTTATACCTATTTTGACTTGTGTGACAAAAGTATTTCCATGCATACCCAAAGGGTTGTGGCTCCTCCCTTCTCAGCAACTACATCACTAGTGTTCCCCCTGCAGCTAAGAAGGGACACACTAATTATGTGGCAGCTGGAAAAGTGGGGGGCTCCCAGCCAACGACAGCAGGGCGATGCAAGAATTGAACACACCAACAGTGTCAAGACGCTGCACATTCCATGATGTAGGGACTTGTTACTGGCAAGTATAATACCGGTTTAGAGGAGTTTCCTTTTTTTAGCAATAGTCTTACTTTAAATTGCATTTCCACTTTTGCAGTCACATTTGAGAAAACCCCACTATAAATTTGTTATGTGTTCCTATTCACACAACATACCTAAAACAATATTTCTTGCCTTTTAGATGTCATTGTTGAGCAGGTCTTTGAAAAGACTGCAAGCTACTCTGTACAAATGTCAAAGTGACAGGAAACTCCGGCTGTCCCCATTAAAAGACCAGGGACACTCCGAGCTTCCTCCCTGCCCCATTAACGTACAAATGTTCCTAGATTGATAACTCATTGTTAGGTCAGACAGTTCCCAAAGCTAGTTCACAACCAATAAAGAAATCTGGCACAGTACAGACAGGGTTAATTATTAGCCTCCCCAGCCCCCTCAGGTCCCCTTGCATTCCAGAAAAAAAAAAAACATTTTGAAAGAAACTATTCCGAGAATAGAGCAAGTAATATGTAAGCAGCATTTTTTTTTTTAAAGTTATACTAAGTGAATGAGAACATGCAACAAATATAAAATGTGTCATCCCAATTTGGTTGCAAAAGTGGAAATACACTTTAAGCTCTGAGCAACAACGTGTTCCTACCCACCGAACTGGGAGAAGCTCAGATTACAATAATAAAGCAATAAGCTGGTAATTTGCGAGATGTCGGATTCTAAATGCTGAAGACAAGTATAGACAGGCTTGAAAGAGACTTGTTATACTAAGAAATGTTTGTTTAATTGCCTTTGTCAATTATCTCAAGGCAGGAACTATAAATATTAATTGTCGCTTTCACAACATCACACGAAGAACAAGTATACTTGAGTCTTCATTAGGTAGAAGGACCATCAATCAGCATAATACTGCAAACATGAAAACATGAGCATCCATACCACGGACATCATGGCTCCACCCCATACCATGAGCATTGCAGCTGTCTATGCAACAATAGGAAGAAGATATTTATTCTTTGCTCCATTTGTACTTGCCAGAAATTACAGAGCCAAGGAGTTTTGCCGTCTAATCCCCTATTTACCTCCACTCCATCAACTGCAATGACTGAGCTCTTTGGCTGGAGCTGTGACATCTTTACCCTGGTCTTCTGGGTTTGACATGTTCGGCCATCTTGACTGGCTAGACGCAACTCCAAGGAATGCCAGTAATTTACAGCATGCACAGAACATCCTAAACAAGCCCGCTAAGGTGGTGTTCATGTAAGAGACATAGTATGCTTGTTTTTTTTTAACTAGGCAAAAAGCCACAAAAGTTCAGTGGGGCTTAAAGAGGTCTCAGAAATCACAGATAACTATAATAGGGTTTTACAACTAGGTGCTTGGGAATTAAAAAGGCACATTTTTAAAATGTCTCAGGGTCATAAGGAAGGGTCTCTGACAAATAACTTCTTTATAAAATGTGTAATTTGAAGACATAAAAAAAGAAAAATCTATCAGAAGAATAAATGTGAGTTGCTACAAGAGAGTGTATAGAAACCATGCTGACTGAGGAGGTTGGCAGTGGACCATCTCATCATACCCAATTACACATGCTAGTTCCCAGGGGAATGCACATTAAGTAATTGGTACAACGCAATTCCCAAAACATACATTAGAATGTCAACACAGATGGCATCTCCTGATAGCAAGGTCACTACCACATCAAAGGAATGAAGCGCGGTGGCCTGGTGTCCTACAGCAAGACCTTGGTAAAAAAAACGGAAGCCCTGTGTGGCCATGCAGTGATCAGCGCCTAATTCGGCATTATGAATGGAGTGTACATCCATAATACACTTCATTTCTCCTCACACTGGAAGTAGGCAGCTCATTTGCAGAGCCTGACATCAGCAGCATGTTTTCATTCCCACGCCTCTGTCAGTTCCACTTCAATGGACGTTGACATAATAATCACATTTCAAGCCATGTAATTGATCTCCTACACAGCAAGCTCTTAGCCAGACTTCCTGCTCAGCTTTTATTTTTGGAGGTTTCCCACTACATGGTCAGCCTGATTACTTCAGTTAATCTGACACTGAGGGAAAAAAAAAAAACGAAAGCCAGGCCACAAACCTAATATGATCTCATGGGTCGGCCCATTGTAAAAAAGGTCTTCCTCAAACCTGCATTCCAGTGAAAGTCAGCCTATACTTTAACGTTATCAAAGACATTTTAACAGCCCTACTGGGGTATGAGGAACAGAGTGCCTGAAATATTTTAGCCATAGAGCAACAGCGGAGTATACGTTTCTGAAGCTAACAGTCTAAGCATTTGGTCACGTGGCCACCCTTGAATGAAGGGGAGGATCAGGAGTTGAGATTGGTGGATCTTTACCTTTGGAGATCATATGACCCAAGACCTAGGCTTTTAGATATGTGGCCAGTACTGGAGCCAAACCAGAGCTGCATTATCTTCTGGAAAGGCATGTACATTACCCATTCTATTACTATTGGCTCTTTAGGGCAATTTGCATACCTCCAAAAGAAGAATCAATGGACATTTAAAAAAAAAAAAATGTAAAAAATTAAAATGCTGGGACCCCTCCTCTGGTCTAGGAACTGGAATAACGCAGAATTACTTGCCCAATTCTGGTTTCCTCCTGGCCCCGAAAGACCAGTCAAAGGCTGCAGCCAACTAATCGATTATAAATCGATAATGGGAATAGTCAACTAATCTCATTATCGATTAGTTGGTGGGATCCCCTAGCTCTCTTCTCCATGCTGGGAGGAGGGCACAGCAAGCAGTGGGCGGGTGCAATAGCCAGCCTGCTATTGGCTGTTGCAATATGAAATGGCCAAATAATGGCCAATAGCAGGCTGGTTATTGCACCAGCCCACTACCTGTTCTATTTACCTTCAACTGCTGTCTGTGGAATCTCACCACTGGCAGCTGTCATTCTCTGGCTGAAGCTATTAAATATTCAAGCGCCATGTGCTTACAATACAATAATTACTGGACCGCATGGTACCGCAATGCCATGTGTTCCAGTGCAGTGTGATTGCAAGAAATTGTGCATGCAGTTTTATTCCGAAGTAAACTTTGTAACACTCAATTTGTGGATTTTGTTTTAAATTAAAGATGGTATTTTTTTTTTTATCCGATTGAATCGAAAAAAATTAAAACAAAAAAAACTTCGGCCAGCTAATCAATTATGAAAATAATCCTTAGTTGCAGCTCTAGACCAGTCCCTGCAGCCTCTCCTACCGTGGGCTACGGTGGTCTAAAGACTGCTGATATCATCGACCTGCAAATGGGCAGCCCAGTGGTGTAGTGGCTGCAGCACTGGAGAGCCTCCGGTTCAAATTCCGGTCAGGTCACTATCTGCAAGGAGTTTGCATGTTCTCCCTGTGCTTGCATGGCTTTCTCCCACACTCCTAAGACATGCTGGAAGGTTAATTGGCTCACGTCTAAATTGGCCCTGTTTGCATGCATGTAAAATAGATTGTAAGCTCCTTGAGGACAGGGACTGATGTGAATGTGCAGTACATAAAGCGCTGCGTAAATTGTCGGAGCCATATTATTATTAAACCTAAAAGGGACATTCCATAGCTGGAGAGAAGGGCGAGAGATGTGATCACCAAGTGCCACAGGACCAAGGATCAGGCGAATAAAACTGTTTTTGAGCCCCTAGACAAAACTAACATTTAACCCTTGCAATGCACGGGTAGCCCCACTGCAAGGGTACGTTTATTTGCCCAGCGTTCTTTTTTAAATCAGAAGTTTATAACATTTCATTACTGTACTTTTGTTTAGATGTTTTACTTCGCCGTACCTGCTGTGACAAAGATGATACACCTACCTACAGAAATGGAAGACAACCTTATTAACGGAAAACACACAAATCTGTTTCCTTCACCTCAATAAATCCTAATCCTATTATAGAAATGAGAAAACACGCTTCAGAAAAAAGTAAAATGTGACATTTACATATGAAGAAACCGCAGGAATTGGCCAACAAGATTACAAAATATCTGGGAAATACTAGAATGTAACAGTGTAGAATTTACAAGAAGTGAAGGGAAGAAAGAAGCTGCAAGAAAAAAAATTAAAGATTAAAAAAAGGGGAACAATTAACATTTCTAGACTGTACACTGGGAATTTTCCTCCGACGGAGCATTTCCCCCACAAGGCCTTCTTCACAACGCCACTAAAAGGTTTCCGGCATCTGCTAAGCACCTCCTGACTGAGGGCAAAGAGCGCACCAAGATGAATGGATCAGTACAAGCACGCTGCCTAAAGTCACACTGGTGCAGAATTGGCTTCAGCATTCAGAGCCTGTATGTACAACACTTGCAACCTGAAGTTTAATGTGCTTCTATTTTGCCTCGCCTGCCTCCCCCTCGCATCAAAATGGTAATGACAATTTTAAATAAAACATTCCATAACTTATTTTCAACCCTGTGAGGTCTAGTGGCCCCGGAATGCAGCCCGAGTGGCCCCGGAATGCACAGGATCGCATTCCGGCCGGCTCACGTTGTTTTGGGGTGGGAGGGGCCAATGGCCCCGCAGCCATGCCCTCCAGCCACAAAGCGTTCCGGCGCCGTCAGAAAAAATTCTGCATGCACCGGACCTGAACGCAGGCACTGATGTGCCACACGTTTTGGTGCGGCCGATCGTGTAGCAGCCAGAGGATGCGGCTGCGGTGCTATTGACTTCAATGCACCGCCATGACCCCTCCCAAAACAAAGCGATATAGTTGGAATGCGATCCAGTTCGTTCCGGCTCCAATCGGGCCGGAACGCACTGTGGCTGGTGTGAAGTAGCCCTAACATCTAGATCTCGGTGCTTCTCTTTGCAATGCAAGCAGATCATGGCTAATAGGAGGAGTCCAACAGGGTGCTGCACATGGCTTCCTAAAACCATCACAGCATCCTGTCTCAGTACTCCTCCCAAGAGCCCTCAGCCTGATTCAGGCAGTGGGCTGGCACTTGGGAGGAGCTATGCAAATATCAAACAGCCATGATGATTTCCGGTGCCTTGCCATGGCCTGTGGTTGCTCTCTCCCCATCCCCTATGCAACTGCTGTGTCCTCTAGTTATAGAAGGTAGTAGAAGCAACAGTATGTGTTGGCAGAACAGGAATGACACCCCATTTCTTCAGCTGAGTATTTCGCATCTCCTAGGTCGCCAGACAGGGACACAGAGAGCCACTAGGCACATATTGGGACATTAATTGGATTGGGGATGCTGCGGCTACATGACAATGGCTCAACTGGCACTGCACACCACTCATGCCTAATCTCACAAAAACCGGGCACCCTACGAACATAAGATGTGATGTACCAGATTGCACTGAAAAACCCATCTCTGACCGTCTGCGCAAACAGAGGGCTTGGCCAATGACTGATGAGGCTGCTGCATACAAAATGGTTTTTACCTTGCTTTCAGAACTAGGGAAACATTTTATTAGATATACATTGTGGCGGTATAGGGAAAAAGTAACAATCATATAGAGCAACCAATAGGAGTGTGTGGGAAACTCTACATGATTATGTTTAGGGCTGCAACAACTAATCGACATAAATCGACTATATGAGCTTTGGTACATTAACGCAGATCAAGAAGCTATACAACAAGCTCTTCTCTTTTATAAATACCTAAAATAACATTTAAAATACTATAGTATACCCTTGCTGACAAGTCTTAAGGTGCCCATACACCTTACGACCATTGCAAGACTTTTGTCTTGCGATGGTCGTATGCTTATTGAAAGCTTGTACGATCTGCCCACCTTGGACGGGTAGATCGTACTTGCGATCATCGAAAGCCCGCCCCGCTGAGGGGCGGGCTTCCGATGACCGCAATGCAGAACGGGCAGTGTGCGCGTGCGCACACCGGCCCGTTCCGCAGCTATCGGACGAGCAGGCTAGACAATCGCACGATTCTCGGCGGGTTTTCGAGCATGTTGGTTCGACAAAAGATGTGCGACTGTACAGTAGAAACGGTCGCACGTCTTCGTTCACACTGCTCGATTCTCGTACGATCGCGGGATTTCGCCCGATTCTCGTACTGCAAGGGCGGACAAAGGAATATGGAGTTGATAACTAGACCTTAAAAGTTGGGCGCCAGCTGTAATTTTGTAAGGAGCATGGGCTGTTTGGCTCCTGGGATTTGTTCAGCACAAGAGGTGTAACAGATTCTAGCAATGTTTCTGGAGAGCCGAGCATGAAGAGGTTCATTTTTTACAGTAAAACACACACACCCCTCAGAAAGTTGATGAAGCAGTTCCATTTTAATACACGCTGTATTTTTATCTTCAGGGATTTCAGCACCAATCTAAATGTCAAAGCAGCTGCATTTTCTCGGGTCGCAGTGAGAGTGGAAAATGTTTTATTGCAGTTGGGAGATTATGCAAATGTTGTTCGGGTGCCAAAACTGAAATTACACAAAATGTCAGCAGGTGTGGCAAAGCACCTTATGATTTTTTTTTTTTTATATATACACACTAACTACTACAGGAAAGTCATTCCCTCTACTGACGAGCATTAAAATAGAGGCAGCAGCATTAAGATTTACAAAAAATACAGAATATAACTTTTTTTCCCCAGAGACTTTATAGAGAAAAAAATATATATTAGAGAAGTCCATATAAATGTATTGGTGACTTTTTTGCAGATTATGTACAATTTATAGATTACTTTGCTTGCAAGCGGGAAATCTTTAAAAAGAAGAAGAAAAACTGCATGCCAAAACAGTCAAGAGATTGACAAAGTTTGTGATGGGAAATGACACAGGCTGCCATTGATAAACTCTCCTTTTACTACTGACCTGGAACTAATACGTGGATCAGTTTGGTCTTTCTTTCTGACTTTGCAAACTGAGAATGCAAATATATTCATACTATGGACCAGGGGTAGGCAACCATGACACCCCAGCTGTTGTGGAACTACAAGTCCCATGAAGCTTTGCAAGGCTCCAACAGCCACAGACATAACTCCCAGAGGCAGATGCATGTTGGGATTTGTAGTTTTGGCACAGCTGGAGTGCCGAGGTTACCTACTCCTGCTATAGACTAAAAAGGGATTTTTTTTTCAAAGCTTTATTCACACCTAATGTTTGTAGCGCTTTTTCTGCCCAAACAAAGAAAAAACACGCCAAAAACAAAACCCCATTAATTTCTATGGCCATGTTCACATTTACGCATTTTGTTGCTTGAAGCAAAACAGCCGTCGCTGGGAGAAAAAAAAAAAAGTACACAAGCTTCTTTTTCGCAGATTAAGTGCTTCAATGGAAATGCTCAAAAACACTCGTTTGCTGCGCACGTTTTCCCATTTACATCAATGTGCCACAGTCTGCTCGCAAAAATGCACAAAAACACTATCTAGGTGTGAATGCAGCCAAAATTGTATGTAAACCCTAACAATGAACATCTCCTATATGCTCCCTTTTGGTCTGGTAAATATGAAATTGAAAAACGTTTTGTTGCATTTGTTAAAAAAAAATCAGAAGTGTTCTCTGCACACGAAGGCCTAGTTCACACCAGACGCAGTGCGTTCCGGCTCGATGCTGTCCAGAACGCACTACATCGCATTGCGGCTGGCTCACTATGTTGTGGGGCAGGAGGGGGTGTGACGGTCCATTGAAGTGAATGGCACTGTAGCCACGTCCTCCGGCCACAATGCGATCGGCCGCACGGGATCGCAAGGCACATTATGCCTGCGTTCCGATCCGATCAAAATGCTGCAAGCACTATTTTGATCAGACTGGACCACAGAATCGGGAATTTTGCTTCCGTTCGCGAACTCCGCATTGGGTTACTAACACAACCGCAGCCATCTTCCCTGCTCTGACACTGGTCGTGGCTTCCTCTAGTCGAGATTGCAGTTTGATCACAGTTTGATTCGGTGCGCGACCAGAATCGTGGAACGAATTAAGTTTGTGAACCGAGGTACCACTGTACAAGACCTATTTGTAGATCCAAAACCTGTATGGGTCCCACATTTTCCTTACCTGGGAGATGTGATTGATGGACGATTCCATCCTCCGCAGCTGGGAGGCCTGGATGTCGAGCAGCTGCAGCACATTGTTGGCCAATGCATTGATCTGGTAGGCGACGCTAGCCAGGGACTGAGTGGTGTAAGCCTTGGTCTCTTCTAGTGCTTTCCTCTTGTCTGGAGCCTGCAGGAGAGAGGAAAGCAGGTTAATAAACATGGTGCATGGGAATCATTTATAAGCTGAACATTTCCATAGACTTTTATAGCCAAAAAGATAACGGGTAGACCACTCAAGAGTCTTGTATTGAAGCAATGTAAACAGGTTTATTGGGCAACGTTTGGACTTGCCACTGCTCATCGTTCATAAGACAGTGCCTTGTCGGAACTGGTTTGTATCGGCTTGCATGGACCCGGGCGTTTTTACTCTTATCTGCGTGTATTGCCCACCATTGGACTAATATATACAGACACTGTCCGTCACATCGGAGTAGACAATTAATATGCAATTTAGGAGTCAGTCTGTCCACTACAGAAGCCAGCAGGATTTAATTTTAGGAGCCAGCTGCATTGACAACAAAAAGAGAAAACCTCAAAAGTTAAGTGCCAGTTGTAATTTTTATGGAGCATTGGCTACCTGGGATTTGTCCAGCCCTGCGTTAAACACACACACTCCTCATGCATGTACACAGTAGGATAGCCCCGTGTGCAAACATGCCTTGGTTTTATTTACTTTATGAATACGCAAATGCTCACATTCATCTAGCAGTAACCTTGCATGACTCGCATACTTCAAATGCTTTGAAATCAGAGTTGTGACATCCAACCTTACACTGCCACAGGGACATGTCATGCTAAACTCCTGACGTCCACAAACTGATAGCTGTGAAATTAATGTGAAGGGGACTACACAATACCAGTTTTGCAAATGACTACAAAGGTTCCATTTGAAAAAAAGGTGCAAACACTCAGAAATCCTCTTCCACTAGTCTGTCTAATCTAATATCCAGAAATGCGACTGGTAGTCAATGCTTACTGCTACCCATTGATTTTTTTTCTGTGCCATTTGATTTGCCCTCAAGTGCTACCTGAACATCTGAAAGAAAATAATGTTGTGCAATAAAACACACAAGACATAACCCGCTGACATCCGAGATCTTAGACACAAGAGGTTCTGTTCGTGTGAAGACATTTCCCCATGGATGGTCAGCTTGAGGCCTCGTTCACACCAGACAGTGCATTCCATCCCAATTCTGTCCGGAACGCACTGCATTGCATCCGGCTCACTGTGTTGTGGGGCAGGAGGGGGTTTGGCGGTCCATTGAAGTGAATAGCACCTTAGCCACGACCTCCGGCCGCAATGCAATTAGCTGCACGGGAAAGCAAGACACATCAATGCCTGAGGTATGGAACAAACAAAATGCTGCACCACAACATAGTGAGCTGGCCGCAATGCGATGCAGTGCGTTCTGGCCAGAATGCACTGTCTGGTGTGAACAAGGCCTAAAAAAGGTACCTGTAAGCCCTCCTGTGATTGGCCACCCTGTTCTGGCCACCCTGTTCTGAAGATCCATTAAAAAAAAGAAGAAAAAAAAAAGGACCGCCACTGTTGTAAAGTAGCCACCGATCCAAGCTCGCTCCAGTGATGGACTACAATCTCACGTTTAGTTTACCAATTTGTATTGAGATTGTAGCCCATCACAGGAGCGAACTTGGAGTGGTGACCACTTTCCAACAAACACAGGGACCATGGGGAACAAAAGTAGCCCCCCTCCAGAAGGAAGGACAGTGTCGGCACCAATTCAGAGATGATTTCAGGATCTACAGCCGAGTGATACACAAATAAGATACATTTCTGTTGGTAGTTATGGTTCTTGAATGTATTAAGATTTAATTGCCGAGTTTATTGCAACTTTTAATGTGTAATTACATAAAAAAACACATTAGATGTGAGCGTACATCTCTTGGAGGAAGAAAATAATTCTTGGTTTTATCTGCACCTCTACCATACATGTCAAAGCATGTCATTCCCAAAACACTGGAGAATGTGAAAACTGCAGAACCGGCTCACGGACATGAAATTCCAAGAAGTCAAAAAACAATCCTCAGCTAAAACACGTTTATGTTCTACTAACACTGGATAAGGAACACTGCTTCACTACCTCAGCCCAAAATAAATAGGGAAATGTATGCCGACCTTAAAGGAGACCTGTAGTGAGGTCTATGCATCGCGACCTAGCTGACCTTTCCTTATGAAAATGCTACTCGTCTGGCTAGAATGTCTTTAAAGTGATATTAAAGCCTCCTTGTATCCCACAAGGAGACCCACATTTGCTGGAGGCTGTTGCTGTTTTTCCTTTAAAAGTTGTTAATTCCTCGTTTGCAAGTGGGTCCCGCAGGAATCTTCCCCCCGCCCATGTAGGGTGCCACCATCGTTCTAATAGAGGCATGAGGGCGTGCTCGTGCCCGCAGTGGCTGTGAGCGTCCATAAACGCCCCTTCTCTCTTTGATTGATGGCAGAAGGAGCCTATGGGTCAAAACAGTACGCGAGTTGTATGGTGTGCCTGGCAAATGGTGGACAGTTTCCAATCCTGACTGGTGGACATGCTGGCCAGCTGGAAGCACTTTTGTAGCTCCGTACGACGTACGTCCTTGGCAGCGAAAGGGTTAAAGCTACAATGTAAAACCAGAATTTTAGTAAATACGTTTTGTCAGGACGCAAGCTCTTCCAAAACGGCACCTAAGTGGAAGACATTGGCCCCACAATGACTTATCCCCTAGTAACCATCCACCACTACTGGTGCCAACCACCGCTTATAAATCATGGAGGGGGTCACCTGATAAAAAGCCCCTGTGCTGCCACATAACACAACTACATTTAGGCCTCATTCACACGAGAAACGGCCGTATTGGGCAGCTCCCCGGGAAGGACAGGTGCTGCGTGTGATTAGTACGCAGCCCCTGTACTCCTCTATGGGACTGCGCGGCCGTAAGCCGCACTACGCCCGCCCTGCACGTCTGTGGGGGTGTCTGTACTCGTATGCTGACAGGATGGATCCTGTCTGCGTCCGAGCCGGGACAAGCGCACAAGTACGGACCTGCAAGAGGGTGAGTGTAGAGCGGCGTCCTCCCATACAGAAGGACAGGAGCTGCGTACTAAAATCACACACAGCACCTGTCCTGGGAGGTGACCGATACGGCCGTGCACGCAGCACGGAGCTGTAAGGGCCGGACGTTTTGCTGTGTGAATGAGGCCTTAAGGGCAGGGGTATGCAAACTCCGGCCCTCCCGCTGTGGTACGATTACAAATCCCATGAGGCATTGCAAGACTGACAGCCACAGGAATGACTCCCAGAGGCAGATGCATGATGGAGTTTGTAGTTTCACCACCGCTAGAGGGCCAGAGTTTGCCTACCCTATTTAAAAGGGCAATTCCTTTTTCCCAGGTGAATTTCGGAAAATTGAATTTTTTTTCACCCCTCGCCCTCTATACTTACCTTTGGGTGAATGCTTTTTACCCCCCACCGGTGTACTGTCCATACTCAGCAGTGCAGCCCTGCACTCTGTATTTTGAATTTCACTTGCAAAGGGCGAGCAGTCATTGGCCTTAGCAAGAAGTGCTTCTCATTGGTCAGTGTGGGCAGGTGACCGCCTTGACCAATGAATGCTCGCCCTTTGCAAGTGTAATTCAAAATACTGAGTCCACGGATCGCTGCATTGTATGGATAGTACATCAGCGTTGGCAGAGAGAAAGAAGCGCGCTCGCCCAAATCTAAGTATAGCAGGGGGGGGGGGGGGCTGCTTGGGGGGCAATTCTATTTTAGAACACAGCATTCCACAATGCACAGATGGTTAAAAACTGCGCCTTGCACTAAAATGTGCTATATTCGGCTGCCTACACCCATTGGGGTGCCATTTAAAATAATGGCACTACAATGCACGCTTTCACTCAATAACAAACATCAGAGTGAATGAGCCCTTAAATACTGTTTTGTTGAGAGAAAAATAAGGGGGGCAGAATCTCATCAGAGTGAGCTCCAGAGGACTTTGCTGCAGATTTATACGGTCTCTATTATAAAAAGGAAGAGTGGGAGGGTCACCTGAGCAATCTCAACATTGCAATAAGAAAAAGGAGCTCCATCTGCATCCCTTAGCTGTATCATTTTTGCTGAAATATTAAGACCTTTAAACTATAGCAGGCAATGCCTCTAATCTGACTTCCATCTGTGCTGACTTCTGGGAAAGGCAAACAGCCAATCACACCAGCATGAAATAGGACACATGGGGGCGTTCTGTACAAAGTCTATGTACAAAGCTCCCCAAGCGTGTCACACTGCAAGGAACCAACAATTGAATTGATTTTTTTTTTTTGTCCAGTTTTAGAAAATCTACAAACTACTTTTCCTGTTTGCAATTATAAAAATTGGC